TTAAAAATAAACAGTGAATAAAAAAAGGAATGAAACATTAAGAGAAAGAAAAGGACAGGAGAGAAAGAAAGAAAGAAAGCGCTGTTGGAAAGAAAGAAAGAACTTTAAGAAAGAGGGAAAGAAAGAAAGGAAGGAAACACTTTTAGAAAGTAAGAAAAAAATGAATGAATGAATGAAAGAAAGAAAGAAAGAAAGAAAGAAAGAAAGAAAGAAAGAAAGAAAGAAAAAATAAAGAAAGAAAGAGAGAAAGAAAGAAAGATTAATTCAACGGGAATAACCAGTAAAATTAAAGCAAGAATGACGTGTGGAAGTGGAGAGTAAAAATAGGTTAAATGATAACAGAAAATAAAGAAAATGAAGAAAAAGAAGGAGAAAACTAAAAAGAGGATGAAAAAGAAGAGGAAGAAAGAAGAGGAGGAAGGAAGAAAAAAAAAAAAAAAAAAAAGAAAAAAGAAAGAAAGAAAGAGTAAAGGTTCCGAGGTAGAAAGGAAAAGCTAAGAGGAATGGAAGGAAGTTAATCAGGAAAAGATGAAAGTGAAGAAGAACGGGTGGAATTCAGTGAAAATGAAAGAAAAACAAAAGAAGGTGAAATAGCACAGGCGAAAAGAAGAAAGAAACAAATGGATATAATAAGGCAAAGAATGCACAAGTTCAAGTAGAAAAGAAAGAAAGAAAGAAAGAAAAAAGAAAGAAAGAAAGAAAATGAAAATCAGGACGCAAAGTAAATGGTGCAAGAATGAAAAACATGGACAAATAAAACATTAAAAAAGAAGAAGGTGCTTGAGAAAGAATATACAATAATGAATCAACGAGGAAAATAAATCAAATCATGAGAAAATAAAAATAGAAATGAAAAACAGATAGAGGAAATGAAAATAAAGTCAAAACTAAAGGAAAGGAGAAAAGAAGGAAGAAAGGTGGGGCTGTCAGGAAATCAAAATGGGCATTGAAGAAGAAAATGCAATTAGTAAATAAAGAAAGCATAAGAAGCCAAATGTGAAGAGAAAAGAGAAGAGTAATACAAAAAGAAGGAAAGAGGAAAAAAAGCAAAGAGAAACTGAACGAATGGAAGGAAAAAAGGTGATACGAAAGGAAGAGAGAGAAAGAGGGAAAAAGAAGAAAACACAAGAAACAAGATATAATGAGAAGGAAGGGAGGAATGAAAGCGAAGCAATGAAAGACAAGGAAAGAAAGAAGAATGAAAAACAAAGAGAAAATAGGAAAACGCAAGAAACAATGCGTAAAAGCAAGGAAAGAAAGAAAGATAATAAAATAAAATCTGAATGAGCGGAAGTGACGTAAAACATTAAAAAAAGATAATGGAGAGAGTATATAAAACATGTCAAAACAATAGAATGTGCTTCGACGGCAAGGAATAAGTGTAAAAACAAAGAAGAATGCCGAAAAGAGAAAAACAATTAAAATACGTAAGAATAAGGAAGGGGAACGAAGAACGGAAATACTGAAAGAAAGAATGGAAGGTGAAATAGCGCCAAAATGAACGTACGAAATCGATGGAAGATGATATAAAAAGAAAAAAAGAGAAAAGAAGGAAGGGAGAAAGAAAGCAAGCACTGTAAGAAAGAAAGAAGGAAAGAAAGAAAGAAAGAAAGAAAGAAAAGTAAGCCAAAAAAGAAGAAAAACAAACCGATAGAAAGCAAGCAAGTAATTTAGTAAGTAACAAAATAAAAATAAAAAACAGAATGGCGGAATGAAGGAAAAAATATATGAAACAAAGTATCAAAAAAGCAAAGAAGGAAAATGATGAGAACGGAAGGAAAACACAGAAACATTGGAGGAAAGGGCAGTAATAAAGTAAGTAAAGGAAAGAGTGAAAAGAGGGCAGGTTGAAGAAAAGACGAGGAAGAAAGTAAGAAAGAATGAAAAGTAAGCAGAGTAAAACATAGATGCAAAATATATATATCAAGAAGGTCGGAAGCAGTAGGAAAGGTAGTAAAAATTGACGAAGGAAGCAATGGCAGCAATGAAGAAGAAAGGAGTGGTGAGAAGAGAGGGGAAGTTCAGGACGGAAGACAAGAGTGAAGGAAGAGAAGAAAGAAATAAGGAAGTTAAAACAGGTAGAGAAAACTCAACCGTTTAAAAAAATGATCGCAAATTTTTGTTAAAAAGGGGGCGTAGCAAAAAATACGTAGCTGAAAAAAAATAGATGAAATAAATAAAAGCGGGAAATATAATTGAAGAAAAAAAAAAGCATAAAAATATTTAAAAAAAAAAATACAAGTAAAACGGAAAGTTATATAATTTTATCTTTTTGCGCCGATCGCTAGTCAATCTCGAATGATTATCTGATTAGCCGTGTTGGTATTCCCGGCAATCTGTGTACACGTTTCTTCCGTTCGACTAACACGTTTAATGCATTTCACTTCCTCCCACCTATCCTTACTGTGTTTCTTTGTTTCCAATTCCTCCTACTTCACATTCGCCTCCCACTCTTCCGTACACAGTCTGAAGCATTTTATCAATCTTTTCGTCTAACAGATATTCGTACTCAGTTGAACAGCAAGATATACACAATATGAATCTACTGTACACACACTTGGAATATGATCTCAAACAGATTCACGAATCACTGCTTACTTAACTGATTGAGATTTCTGCTATGCGCCGTGTCCCTTCAAGAGTGGGCGAACATTTTTATCACTGGTCGACCATTATTTTTAAATAGACAATGTTACGCGCGTGCGCGAACACACACACATGAATAGAATATAGAAAACTGTACATGTATTAAATTTTGTTAAAAAATAAAAATATTAACATAGATGACGTAGAGTTGCACTAATTGTGTATTTGTGTATTTAAATATATATATATATATATATATATATATATATATATATATATATATATATATATATATATATGTGTGTGTGTGTGGGTGTGTGTGTGTATGTGAGTGTGTGAGTATGTGAGTGTGTGTGAAAGTGTGCAAATTATTTCCAGATGGAGTGTACCTGTAGAAGAGACAAAATGAATAAAAAAGAGACAAGAGGAAAAACTAGACTTAACCAACGCGTTTCGTTCCTCTGAGGGGCTTTATCAAGGCAATGAAATCAATCAATGAATATCATTTGCACAGACTTCACACAGAAGGTTGGGAAATTGGTTAGATACGTTGTCAAAGGCATGAGCCCTAGGGTGGTCGTTTGATAAAGTTCCTCAGAGGTCGAAACGCGTCGGCTCGGTATACTTTTTCCTCTTGTCCCCTTTTATCTACACACACGCACACATGTACACACACATACACACGCACACATACACACACACACACACACACACACACACACATATATATATATATATATATATATATATATATATATATATATATATATACATTAGTGCAACTTTACGTCATCTCTGTTACTACTTTTATTTTTTTAACAAAATTTAATACATATACAGTTTTCTATATTCTATTCCTTAGAAGATTTTAAGCATATAGTTGCCTTTTTAAACGAAAAAACACATAGATATATATATATATATATATATATATATATATATATATATATATATATATATATATATATATATAGTACAAATATAGTTTTAAGGTATGCTATATTTATGTGTAAAAAGTATTCAGTATCAACGCTGAGAGGCGACAGTGTGTTTCATGATTGAACCCTGTATATTGTGTGTTAGCACGAATATCTAAATAGTTAAGCCGATACAAATTCTCAGTGTCTATGAATATTCTAAGATGGAGTGTATCCATAGAAGAGACAAAATGAATAAAAAGAGACAAGAGGAAAAACTATACTTAACCAACGCGTTTCGTTCCTCTGAGGGACTTTATCAAGGCAAATGCGAGGATTAATTTTATTGCACGAGAATATTACTCGCTCAGTTTTCTCTTAACCAGACTTTGAATTATGTCACTTTGTGTCCTCCCATATTTTGACTGATCTTTCAACCACCTGCTGAATATTCATGGACATTCTCATATTTAAGAGCCTTGATAAACCAGTGGCATCCTTGCTCTTGTATATAAACACGTGCAACTAAATAAATCCTTATATTGACCAAGATAAAGTCCTCTCCCCAGCTATGGATAAATAGCAGGACAGACAGGGTTCTATGGCCTTGAATGGCAACTACCGCAGAAAGAAACGGCAACCTACTGCGGGAAAAAAAATTTGCCTCGTCAGTCATGTATCGAAAGATACATGATCGCCTAAGCGTGTATCACTCATGGCACATAACTGACTGACTGAGTGAGAGAATTTCCTCTGACAAGCGCGTTGTAAATGATTTGCGTCCTAAACGAGGCAACCGTCTAGACGTCTAGATAAAGATTACAAATTGCACAAATTCTTCCGCTATTTTATAAAAAAATCTGTAATGTCCTTATTTGCTAAGATCGTTCGGCCAATCCAAATTACTTATGCCTCGGTTTTCTGTTTTCCATTGCATCTCCTACGACAAAATATAATCGGTTCTGCTGTCTTTAAACACGTCTTTCTTCTGTTCTAATTTTTTGATTGGTAGTCTTTGTTTAGCGGCCTGCCAACCTCTATGGATAATTCAATCCCGAAATCTAAATATTTACCTTTTATTTATATATCTTTGGCAATAATAATGGTTTCTTGATACTGTTACGGTTTTTTGGGTATATAGCACATAACTAGTGAGCGAGTCAGAATGACTTATTTCCCTTTATAGTCGACCAATGGAAGGTTAACCAATCAGAAGCCGCCCAACACTGTATTCGTCGTGTATATAGGCGGCCATCTTGTTTCAACTACCGGAAGGACCAAAGGCGACCAGGAGAAGGATGAACTACACTCTGTTGTGATATCCACTGCGAACCTGCACTACGCTTTCCTACTGTCTCCGAAATATTCACTGCCAACCTCTGGATTCTATACTCGAGGACGACCGTCATGAAAATGTCTAACAGATACAAGTATAATTAACTCATAAATGGGAGAAGAAGAAGTGGGTTCATGCCTTCCCAAGGGTACTTGAGCGTATATGTATATAACGAAACCAACGGTAATTAAAAACTCTACGATTATCAATGCCGAGCCATTATCTATTACTACATTCGCACATCCAAGCTTAGAACACCTCGTATTTCCAAGCGGTCACCCATCTATGTTCTAGCCAGGCTAGATGTTGCTTAGCGTCGGTGATCGTACGAAAACTAGTGTTTCAACGTGATATATCTGTAAGCCGTCTTCTATTTTGAGACCACTTTCTTACTTTGAATGGTGAGTTGATTCAGTGTCCTACTAAAAGTTTTACTTATTTATATTCTATCTATTCATCATTATATCTGTTTTTCTTTTCTTCTTAAGTAAGGAAAAGTATAAATAGTGCTGGCATTTCTTTCTTTTTTAAAAAGAATTAAAAATGCCATACACGTATTAGTTGCTTGTAAATCCTACTACATGTAGAGTCAGCAAAAGGCTGCTCAGATATCCTGGACGCAAAGTGAGGAAAGAAGGCTTTGAAAGTTTGGTACTCACAGGTTATACTGAAGACAGTAAAGATAGAGGGGAATCAGTGAGTAACCTATATAACGTGCTTTTGAAAATAGTAGAACAGGGATTGTGAGAGATAACGAAAAGGCAAACGTTTTAAGCGATACACAGGTTTAGAAATTGTGGAGCTTTACGATCGTTCATGTCTTGCTATGATAAGGGTGGATACCCAACACAATTATTCCAGGTAAAATGCATCCTTTGAATACTGTCAGTTCTGAATATCTAAAGCATTTAGGTTTCTAAAGCGTTTAGTTTTAAGTTTAGTTTGCCTCTTGTTCAGTGGAAATATAATTATAGAGCCGCTGTATACGCCCGTTGGGATAATGCGTAGTTTGAGTGAAGATATATAAACTTCATTTGTACATATAAAGATATTGTAAATATCTTTTTATTCAGTCTTCAGGACCTCTATATACGTATCGATTTTCAATAAATGGGAATAAATTCCCCAGATACATGTGTGTTCCTCGTATCCATCAATCAGATCAAATGAAATGACGTCAGGTCGACAACGAAAAGCGAAAGATCAGAAAAAGACAAAAGTAAATATGTGGGGAAGAATAACTGAGTTTACACATGTAAATAATAAATAAGAAAAGCTAGTATACAGAAAGGGTAGTGTCACATCTTTTGGAGATTTTTAAAAATCTCTACGAAATGTCGGGCCTCCTGTATTGCAGTGAATGCTGGCTAATCTTATCAAATTGGAAGAAGAGACATGAAGGCAATAGAAATGTAGTACTACAGAAGAATGTTTATAATTTCATAGACTCATAAACGCATGAAAAACGAAGAATCTTGAGAGAAAACGTGAACAAAAGCTATACTGATATGTTACATGAGAAAGAGTGTTTAAAATTCTAGGTGAATTACAGGAAAAGTCTGAAAGCAAGAGGAACAAAGAAGAAGTCCATAATCTACCCAATTGTCTTGGGCTAATTATTGGCAGAAAAGATATTAGGAGATATAGCAAGAAGACAAACAATAAGGGCTCACGTCTTGGAAGGTTACAAAGAAGAAGAAGAAGAAGAAGAAGAATGAGGAGGAGGAGGGGGAGGAGGAGGAGGAGAAGAAGAAGAAAGAATGAGAAGAAGAAGAAGAAGAATCAAGAAGAAGAAGTAGAAGAAAAAGAAGAAGAAAGAATGAGGAGGAGGAGGAGGCGAAGAAGAAGAAGAAGAAGAAGAAGAATGAGGAGGAGGAGGGGGAGAAGAAGAAGAAGAAGAAGAAGAAGAAGAATGAGAAGAAGAAGAAGAATCAAGAAGAAGAAGTAGAAGAAAAAGAAGAAGAAAGAATGAGGAGGAGGAGGAGGCGAAGAAGAAGAAGAAGAAGAAGAAGAAGAAGAAGAATGATGAAGAGAAGAAGAATGAGAAGAAGAAAAAGAAGAAAGAATGAGAAGAAGAATAAGAAAAAGAAGAATGAGAAGAAGATGAAAAAGAAACTACAAACGCCATTTTTATATTTCTAAAAGAATATCTTGAACCTTCAGGATCACGGACACAGCATATTGAAACAACGATTCTCGTACGGTCACCGGTGAAGCAACATCGAGGCATGCCTGTACCTAGATGGGTAACAGCCTGGAAAGGCCATGTGCAGTCAACCTGGATGTGCCGGTGATGTAGTGGAAAATTGCTCGGAATTGTTAATAGGGATGAATCAATCTCTTCTCCCCACCCCAACCCACCTGTGGGTTAATTATTAAGACTTGTATCACTAAAAGCATTATTACCACACCCACCACCACCACCAAAATAAAATAAAATAAAATCGCCTAAAAATATATAGTTTTCGGCATTGAATAACACATAGAGCTCGATATGACGGCAAACAAAAACAAAAAACCTGACACGATTATTCCTCATTAAAAGGGTGACCCGAATTTTGCGACTTCATAGCTATTACGGTTTTTTTTCTAAGAACGAACATTTATTTATCCATAGGCTCTCACTTGAAGAAAAGCAGTACTTTTATAAATCAACTATAGGCTAGTCCATAATTCCGCTATAGACTCAAGAACCTGTCTATATTTCTGAGATGAGGTATACTAATTATTGTAACTATTTACACTGAGCGTAAAACGGCCGGAACATCGTGAATAGTTACAGTATAGCAAAAAAGATGAGGACCATTCTCCTAGCAATTTTAGTGTAAATAAGACAATAGGCATAAAAATAACCAATGTTTATTACAGACCAAAGTATAAACACGAGCACTATTTACTTATAAACTCAATTATATAAGAAAAAGTTGATTTTCACCTGTGATAACTCAGGAAGAATCGATATGTCGTAAAATCCACCTCCCCAATCAACCCTATTTATGTGCCCACGTATAAAGGCAAATGCATTTTAATGCAATCATGTATTTTAAATTATGGAAGAACATTAATTTATTAATGTATTTCACAGGTAATAAATTTACGGCAAATCGTTATTTCAAATAGGTTTTCTTAAAGTCATTTCAACATTCTACGGCGTAGATAACAAATTAAGTTTGAATGATTTACGGAGGCGTTGAGTTTGCATTAGTAATTATGATGTCGTTTGATTGAAATGCTTGCAAGAAGAAAGAGTAATGCTTGAGATCTGTTTTGAATTTAAGCTGGTAAAGATTTATTCCGGGTTTGTTTCTTCAGGACGTGAAATTTCTATAGAATGAAATCCCAACTAAAAAAAAAAAAAAAAAAATATGACTGTGGTCTTTATTCTAAAGTAATAATCCAGTTCCGACATGTCTCTACGCAAAAAAAAAAAAAAAAAAAAATCTCAATTTTTAAGCCAGAATACCAATTAATGGGTTCTCTGTGTAGAATCTGGTAAAAATTAATTACCCTATAACTGAAATAAAAATCAGGATATTCTGAAATTATACAGCAACCATTTTACATCTCAGAAGAGTAGGAGTTAATATTAAACGAAATAAATCTATGCAGTATTTATAGATTACTGTTTGTATGAGACATGATAAAATTTCTACTTAATGGAGTCAAATGTTATGATCAGCGCCGTTTCAAGGTTCTCGTGGGTTCCTTTGAATCTATGATACATTACCCGAAATTATGATACGACTCCCACTCGTATTCATCAAAATTTTCATAAGGTAGTATTCATCTGAAAAATAAATTTTATTTTAACCGAATTATATGAAATAATTGGTCATATGCAATATAGATGAACAATTCAACTAGAAACATTGAAAATAAATACAATGGATCGAAATATAAATTAGAGATATGTCATAATAGATTATGCCATCTTAAATTAATCAACAATATTTTGCTGCAATTTTTAATACGAATTTGAGAGTTTTTTGTTAAAAAGTTGAAGAATTCAATACATTCAGCATTATGGATAAAAAAAATAGTGAATTTAATATAATGTTTTTTTTTTTCAAGACTTAGCATATGCAAAACAAATTCACAGATTTCGACGAAAAAAAAACACAGAACGACGTTAACATCAAGAAAAAAAGTTCAACATTTAACAGTTAGTTGCGTTTAGTTTTATTTGTAATGTATATAAATGTAGATAAAAACAAACAAATGTGAAAAAAAAATTTCTCATAGTTAACCTGTAGAAAAAGACATTATTTATAAACGTAAAAGACAATAGAAAAACTGGAATAGTTGCCAACGTGTTTCGTCCAATGTGTATTTTTCAAGGTAAAAACGAAATGAATTTATTAAGTAACTAATAATTAGTTTATTGTATTAAGTTAGTTTTCAAATGAGTAATTTGTTAGCCTACTGCACAACACTCAACCTGGAGTATATTGTATATGAATTTTCAAGTATGCATTTCTAGTTTTTAGTTTATCTTTAAATTATTGCTTCAAGCTTAAAGTTATTATTTCCTTTTGTGTTAAAGCCCATTTTATATTTTAAGTACATTTAAAACAATTATATCAAACATAGGAAAATGGTTT